GCTGGCAGGGTGACAGCCAAGAGAGAGCTCGGAGGCTCTGTGAGGTCTCCCACTCACAACCTTGCCCTGTGCATCTCATCATCTGGGTGATCATCTGTAGCCTTCTAAGGCATTTTCCCTGAGCCATCCTAGAAAATTATCAAACCCAAGGAGGAGGGTTGTGGGAACTGTGATTTCTAGCTAGTCAGAATCACGGGTCACTGCCAGGGCACAGTGGCTCACGCCTGTAATCCTAGCATTCTGGGAGGCCAAGGTGGGTGGTGGGCAGATCGTTTGAGCTCAGGAGTTCGAGACCAGTCTGAGCAAAAGCGAGACCCTATCTCTACTAAAAATAGAAAGAAATTAATTGACCAACTAAAAATATATAGAAAATAATTAGCCAGGCATGGTGGCGCATGCCTGTAGTCCCAGCTACTTGGGAGGCTGAGGCAGAAGGATCACTTGAGCCCAGGAGTTTGAGGTTGCTGAGAGCTAGGCTGACACCATGGCACTCTAGCCAAGGGAAGAGTGAGACTCTGTCTCAAAAAAAGAAAAGAAAAGAAAAGAAAAGAAAAGAAAAGAAAAGAAAAGACAAGAAATCACAGGTCACAACCTGGAACTTGTAATTGGTATCTTGACTGAGCCCTTAACCTGTGGGATGGTTTCAGACTTGAATTGAATTACAGGACACTCAGTTGGAGAATTGCTTGGTGTGTGTGGGAAAACTCTCACATATCTAATCACAGAAGTGTTCTGTGCTGTGTTGAGTATGAGTAGAGACAAAAAAAAAACCTTTTTTCCTCAGTCTACCAGTAAATGCCAATTCTTGAAACCCTGCTCATTGTAAATTCTCTGATAATTCCCTTGGGTCTTTTCTACTCTAAGTTTTTCTTGCTCGCTTGGATTCCTAGCAGAATTGACAGCATTAGATCTTTTGTAATGCTTAGCTACTGCTGACTTCTGCTGTTGCAGATTTATCTTGCATAACTTTTTTCCTCATAACCACAAGTCCTTGCAGATTGTGCTGTCCCTGGTCACCAAGAGAGAACTAACCCTTTTCTACTTATTATTACATCATCTATCTATCTACCTACCTACCTATCTATATCTGACCCTGATCTCCTTAGGAAATAATGAGTTTGTTGTCTTCCTTAGTTCCTATGCCATTTATACCACCAGTAATTCAACAACATCTAGTATTGCCGAACTTTTAAATTTTTTTTTTTTTTTTGAGACAGAGTCTCGCTTTGTTGCCCAGGCTAGAGTGAGTGCCGTGGCGTCAGCCTAGTTCACAGCAACCTCAAACTCCTGGGCTCGAGTGATCCTTCTGCCTCAGCCTCCCGGGTAGCTGGGACTACAGGCATGCGCCACCATGCCCGGCTAATTTTTTATATATATATCAGTTGGCCAATTAATTTCTTTCTATTTTATAGTAGAGACGGGGTCTCGCTCAGGCTGGTTTTGAACTCCTGACCTTGAGCAATCCGCCCGCCTCGGCCTCCCAAGAGCTAGGATTACAGTGAACTTTTAAATTTTGACCAATGGAGATTACCTTCTTTAGGAAAGAAGCCCTGTGTGTATGTGTAGGTATATGAGTTTGAGGAGAGTAGACAATATACATATTGTTCCTAGGGCACTACCCAAGGTAATTAGTAAGCAGGGCAGCTAAGATGACTTAAAGATAGAGCAACAGTAAGATGAGAAAGAATTTCAGAGTCCAGCGGGTGCAGTGGGGTGGCTCATGCCTGTAATCCTAGCACTCTGGGAGGCTAAGATGGGCAGATTGTTTGACCTCAGGAGTTCGAGACCAGCCTGAGCAAGAGCGAGACTGCGTCTCTACCCAAAACAGAAAAAATTAGCTGGGCATGGTGGCACATGCCTGTAGTCTCAGCTACTCAGGAGGCTGAGGCAGAAGGATCGCTTGAGCCCAGGAGTTTGAGGTTGCTGAGAGCTAGGCTGACGCCATGGGACTCTAGCCAAGGCTACAGAGTGAGACTCTGTCTCAAAAAAAAAAAAAGAATTTTGGAAGGAACTAGAGCTATGTTTTTAGGAATTAGATAAATACAGTTCCAACACTCACATTATGAGTATCTTCATATCTCTTTTCTAAAGGGGTGACTGGAAATAAGACATGAATTCTTGCTTTGTTATTCAAGAAAAATGGGTAAGTTATAATTGTAAGGATAGTGGGAAATTTCATAAACATTTAGTCTTTGATATTGCAGTCTGGAAAGAAAGACACTTTTTTTTTCTTATCCTTGGGTAGACACCTCATGTTATTGTTTAGTTTCTCATGACTTGTTCAACCTTTTAGTTTCTGTTATAAATACGCATCTCCTTTTCTGACTGGTCCAGATAGACATGATGTTGCTAGGCACTATGTCTAAGAAGCAAATATCAAGATGGTTTTAAAAATCATCTGCAAGCTGATGACTCCTACATTTGTTTCTCCTAGATCTTTTCCAAACTCAAAATCATCCCAGACTTGGCCATTGGGAGGGACGTATATCCTTTTTGATAGGCATTTAGATGGTTTCCAATTTTTCACTGTTGTGGAACACAGTGAAATTGTTCTATCGACACAGACACAATCCAGCCTTCATGGCTTTTGCACTTGGTTTTTCCTAAGCATGCACTATTTCCCCAGCTTCTTCCCTTACCTCTTTTAGAGCTATTCAATGGGATCTTCCTTGATTGCTGAATCTAAAATTGCAACCCTCCCCAGCACTCCCAGACTCCTTCCCTGCTTTTTCCCCCCTTCCTTGAACTTATCATCATCTGGCTCAGTACATATTCTGCTCATTTATCTCATTTATTTTCTACACCTCCACCTCTACCCAGTGCTGGAATGTCAACTCTACAAGGGCTGAGATTTCATTTTGCTTACTGCTGGTTTTCTCAGAGTTTAGAATTGTTCCTGGCACTAAGTAGGAACTTAATGAACATTTGAGGAATGAAGAGAATGGGTGTTACCATGGACATCTTTCTGCATCATTGTATGATTTTCCTATTTCAATACATTTTAAAGTTAATCAGGGCCAGGCGCTGTGGCTCACGCCTATAATTCTAGCACTCTGGGAGGCCAATGCGGGAGGATCCCTCAAGGACAGGAGTTCAAAACCAGCCTGAGCAAGAGCAAGACCCTGTCTCTACTATAAATAGAAAGAAATTAATTGGACAACAATATATATATATATATAGAAAAAATTAGCCGGGCATGGTGGCACATGCCTGTAGTCCCAGCTACTCTGGGAGGCTGAGGCAGAAGGATTGCTTGAGCTGGGGAATGTGAGGTTGCTGTGAGCTAGGCTGATGCCACTGCCACAGCACTCTAGCTCAGGCAACAGAGTAAGACTCTGTCTCAAAAAAAAAAAAAAGTTAATCAGTTCAACTAATTGACAAAAAGCTGATATTGCTGTCTCATGATAGTCTCTTTCCTTTTGTTCTTCATGAAAACCAAGTGGGTTTTTGTGTGTGTGGTTGTTGTTTTGTTTTGAGATGGATTTCATTACATTGATTAGGCTGGTCTCAAACTCCTGGGCTCAAGCGATCCTCCAGCCTCAGCCTCTGGAGTAGCTGAGACTACAGGCACTGGCCACTGCATGTGGCTGAAAATCAAGTTTTGAGTCGAACTCTCCCAATATTTCTTTCTTTTTATCTAAGTCCCAGAAGAATGTTTCTTTTTTTTTTTTTTTTTTTGGACGAGGTTCTGGGGCCCCAAAAGCGGGGGCCCCGGAAGTCGCCCCCAGAAGAATGTTTCTAACAAGATATTAACAATTAGGCTTTTTGAAGCATTGACTGAGAAGAGACAATTTTTGGCTATGAGATTTATTTCAAATGCCACATTTCTGACTTTCTTCCACTAAGGTACTTTTTATCTCATTGTAGCACTGAAAACACTGTAACGCAGTCATCAGTTTGCTTTGCTTGCCATCCTGGAATCTGTGTTCCTTCTGAGGAGGAGGTGACAAATTTTATTCATCTTTGTATGCCTATATCCTAGCTGAAGAATATCTTTGAATGACTTAATTAGTGGAGAAGGTTGAAAGTTTAGGAATCTCTTTTTTTATTATTTATATTTAAAATTTAAATAATTTTGTCTTTTTTTTCTTTTTTTTTTTTACTTACCACTATACTAAAGAGGAAGGAATCTTTCTCAAAAGGCCATCCTGGTGATGCTTATAAAGTATGTATAACAAAGAGTGAAATTTAAGTGCTTAATGGGGGTAGAATGGTGGATGAGACAATGAGAGACTGAATCTTTTCTCTTCAGTTGAAGTTTGACCTGGAAGAATGAAAGTTCCATGAACAGCATTTTCCTTACCACCATGACCCCATTAAAGTCCTAGATTCCTTTGCTTGTGTGATGACTGACTGCTGGAAGGAGCAACAGCCATCAAACATTCAAGGAGAAATTCAGATGCTCTAGTTAGTGTTAATTCTGGCATAATGCCACTGATTATTCCTCTTAATGCCGAAAACTTACCTCTTCTGGAGCCTTTATTTCTTCATCCATAAATCGATACCACCACCACTGAGATCCAGGGCCATATAACTAACAAAAATAGGATGATGACCTTTGCAGACATCTAGCGCAGAGTCAAGGAACACAACCCTCGTCTGGTTTCTCTCTTTGGTGTTCAGGGCGAGATTTTCCACTGCCCGCGACCCAGATACTGCTCAATGGTGTCATCTCTGACCTGGCACCCCCTTCATGTGTCTATAAACATGCAATTTAGAGATCCTAAAATCTTTTTTCTCTCAACCCTATTGCCCCCTCTGAAAAAAGGTAGTGACAAAATCTTGACACCTCTCTACCTCTCCAGTGCTCTCCTTTGACCTCCAAAAAACAGATGTTAGGAGAGAAGAGGAAGGGGCGGAGGGGGGAGAGGGAGGGGTCGACAGGGGAGTCCAGCTCCAGTTTGGGGAAATCCAGCTCGTGTTTTGCCTCTCGCTCAGCGGTGCAGGGTCCAGCGAAGGCAGAGCCCCAGCTTCACTCCCTGAGGTCTGTCCTGGGGAGACACTGCTGCTCCGGGGGGCTGACCTGGCGGGGAGTGGCCGCGCAGTCCGCTCCGGCGCCGCTTTGTGCGCGCAGCCGCTGGCCCCTCTACTCCCGGGTCTGCCCCCCGGGACACCCCTGCCCCGCCCAAGTCATGCAGCTCTACCTGCCTCTCCGCTGTGGACCTTTGGGAAGCAGCTGCCCACCCCGGGGGCTCGGGCCCTGACCGTGCCGCGAGCGGGTAGGTGTCCGCCCGGGAGCCGCCTGCGCCCCTCGCGCCCGCCGGCCGGGTCCCTAAGCTCCAAAGTTGTGGGTTCGAGCGCCAGTTGGAAAGTTTGCCCGCGGGCTGGTGCCGGCGTGGAGCAGGCGGACCCGCGCTGCCCTGGGAGCCCGAGCCGGCCAGTGGTGAGCTGGGGCCAGGGCAGAGGGCAGGGGTGCGGGGAGCGGGGGACTGGGAGGCCGAGGCCGGAGGGGGTGCGGGGGGCGGCGCTGGGTGTGGGCTGGACTTGGCGGGGGCTCGGCGGCCGTGGCTCTCCCGCGGCCGCCGGGTGGGCCCTCTCCCCTCCGCGACCCCCCACCCCGGGACGCTCGGGGCGCTTTTGTTGCGGGTGGTAAACAATGCCCCGGCTGGAGGTCTCGGCCCCTGTCTTGGAGGCCCCGCCGAGGCACTGGGTGGGGGCAGCGGGGGCGCCTGGGGTTCTGACCTGGGCTCCGGGGAAGTGGAGCTGGGGGAGGGCAAGTGTGGCCTGGGGGAGGTCCCTGAACGCGCGGGTGACCGCCGGGCCTCTTCGGAGAGTCGGAGGTCGGGCGCATCAGGGCGAGCAGAGGTTAATTTGTACAAGTTGTGGGTGGGGAGCCCGGGCCGTCCTGTGCTCAAGCGTACCCCCAAAACAAGTTTTCTCCCTCCCCACACAATTATATAGGGGACTGGATGGCAGGGAAGACACTTTGGCTTCTGTCTCCCTGAGCATTTTGGAGAGGCGACTTCAGGCTTTAGGGGCGAGTCTTTGGAAGGAAGGCAGATGTCGAGCCTTGCTGGGGGTGACTCGGAGTTGCGTGGAGCGGGGAGGAAGGGAGTAGGGGACAGAATGAGTGGTCTGTCAAAATGGCTTTTAAGAAACTCTCCTGAGCGCCACCGGGTTCTCGAATGCGTTGGCGTGACGGTCCCCTCCGTCCAGCTCGGGCGGGATCCCGGCGCGGGCCCCGAGGGTGAGAGGTGCGCAGAGTCGCGTGCCTGGGACGGGCCGGGCCGCACGTGAGTGGCCGGGTCCCCGCCGGAGGGCGAGGAGGTGGCTGAGGCAGCCTACCGCCCCCAGAGAGAAAATTCCCATTCTCACTCCCTCTCACTCTCTCCCCCACCCCCGCCCTTCTCCCGGCTCCCTGCGCCTCCCCCTGCTCCTGTCCCCCTCCCACCCCCGCCTGATTGCTCCTTCGACAAGGTCTGCGCAGCCCATTTATACATATATGTACACACACATGTAAAATACATTCCTGGAGAAGCAGTCAGGGAAGAGCTGGCCGGCGCTAGTAACCTCTCGGCAGGGGCGGGGGACCTACCTTGGACATTCTGATCCAGCAAAAATTAACGAGTCTCCCAGAGGACGGATGCATGTTGAACTTAGTCCCTTACTCGTCCTCCTTCCACATCAACCAGCCTCGATGCCTCAGTTTCTTAACGATGCCTCTTCCCCTCCTCCCGGGTTCCGCTCTCGGATTACTCAGCTCCTGTAGAGGAGCTGAGTAATCCATCGTAGCAGTGACCGGTTGATTTAGAAATGTTTGAAAAGTGCTTCAGGCCCTTGGAGCGAGCGAAGGATTAGGCGCCCGGCCTCGGGTCTGCAGGGCGAGCTGCGCGTTTCACCCGGGATGGATTGAAGGGCTGCGCTATGGGGCGGCAGCCCCAGGTCCCCACCAGACCCAAATGTGCTTGTCCTCCTCACCCTCCCCCATGTAAAGTAAAATAAAAGCTTTGGCTTAATTGGGCCTCCAGATATTATTTAAAAAAAAAAAAAAGTGGAAAAGGCGCTTCTTAACCAGTTAGGGCCAGGGTTAGAGCATATTAGGAATTTACGACTACAATTAAACAAGGGGGTGGGGGACACGTAGATAGGTACGTAAATAAAGGAGATGTTTGGAGATTAGTCCGTATTATTTCCAAGAACTAAAAAACTTGAGTGATTTTTGGTGTGTTTCCCGATTTTACCGTTGTAGAAACTCAGGTCCCCTCCTTCCCCAATTAAGGGATCTTAATGAGGTTGTCAACCTTTCTGTCTTTAAAGCCAAGCTATGCTATGGTTTCAATTAAATTTTAGCAACAAGATATGCGGGAAATGGCAAACAGTGTCCCCTTTTCTTTGCAAAGATTAGTAGCCCAGACTTACAACTCTGGAACCAGCACTTATCATTTTTGAGAGTTAACTTTCCATCTCTATGCTGATCTTCCAGAACCGATAGGTGGGAGGTTTGGATCTCCACTGTCCCTTGCTCTTTGTTCCTCTTCCTTCTCCAATCTGATTTGTCCCTCCCCTCCCCCACCTTCTTCAGTGGGTTTGTATCTTCCCTTTCCTGAACCTTTAATTCTCCCCCCACCACCTTTTGAGGTCTTCCTACTTCTAAGTCTTTTGATTCCAATTGTCTTTCTATATTCTGATTTTATTACTATAAATTTCTTCCCCTTCCCCAGTTTTGGGGCTCTTTTTTTTTTTTTTTTTAAGGGCATTTTCTTCCTTCTTATGCTTTTTCCTCTACTTCCTTCTAATGTGTTTTACGCCTTTCTTATCTTCAGAAGGGCCATTCTATCTCCATTTTCACTTCTCCCTTCCCTTTTCTGGCTCTGCTTGGGCTTTTTTTCCCCCCTCTTGCTCTTTGCAGGCCAGTAGGGGTTTTTACATATGGAAGGAGGCTTTCTCTAAATCTGCTGGCATTCTAGTGAGGTTCCCTGAACAGATTTTCCCTCTGCCGAGGGCTCTCACACTTCCTGTGATAGAAAACTATCTAGGAACAGCAACCGACTGCTGCCTCCTCTTCCTTTAGATGCAGAACTCAGTTGTTGGAGGAGACCAGGCGAGATGGTGTCTTTTTTAAAAGAAATATTTTGTCTTGTTTTTCTTAGCCAAGTGCAAGAGGCTTTAAGTTCTATGGAGCTGAATGGAGAGACTATGAAATCGCAGTCTTTTTTTCAACTGGCTCTATGTATGCAAATACCACTTTTTTGGCCACTGCTGGTAGTGGGAAGGATTGCAATATAATTTTAAATTGACATGCGGGCTGGATGGTTACATCAGTTCAGCCACTTCCTGCCCAGGGGACTACTTTGAGATCCAGAAAGGAGAGGTGTGGAGGTGGGAGAGGATTTTCTGACATGGTGCTGTCAATGTTGTCCTTTACAGACAACTGATACAGTTATAGAAGTCAACTTTTCACTTCCTAGGCAAGGTGATTATTTTAAAAATTGAAAATGGCTCTCCTAGGGAAAGAGCCTCATCACTTAGTAAGGTCAAATAATATTGAGGCAAAAATTCTTTTTTTTTATTTTTTTTTGAGACAGAGTCTCACTCTGTTGTCCAGGCTAGAGTGCCGTGGCATCAGCCTAGCACCTCAAACTCCTAGGCTCAAGCGATCCTCCTGCCTCAGCCTCCCGAGTAGCTGGGACTACAGGCATGCGCCACCATGCCCGGCTCATTTTTTCTACGTATTTTTAGTTATCCAGTTAATTTCTTTCTATTTTTTTAGTAGAGACGGGGTCTCGCTCTTGCTCAGGCTGGTCTCAAACTACTGAGCTCAAGCGATCCTCCCGATCCTCCGGCCTCAGCCTCCCAGAGTGCTAGGATTACAGGCTCCCAGAGTGCCCGGATTACAGGCATGAGCCACCACGCCTGGCCTGAGACAAAAATTCTGATCCTGTCTGTTGACCAAGGGGTGAAGGAACTTGGGGCCCTCAAGGCTACATGTGGCCCTCTGAATCCCCGAGTCCTGCCCCTTGACCAAATCCAAATGTCACAGAACAAATCCCTCTATAAAAAGGATTTGTTCTGTAAAATTTGGATACAGTCAAAAGGCCGCCCTCATGGATCCAGGAGGATCCATTAGCAGACTCCTTACACAGGCAGTGGTTATCCGTGTTCACTCTGGGACCTGCAGTTGCCACTTCTCTACTCTGTCCTTAACTTTTTATTTTCTACTTTGGGCTAGCATCATGTCTTTTTGTGTCTCAAGTGATGAGTTGGCCTCTTATCTCCTGGCCCATAGTTTTGGATCTCATGCACTCTAGTCCTCTAGACATTTTAGGGAAAAAGTTCTATTGCAAGTTAGTGGGTCTTGCCCTCTGGTGAAAAGATCTATTAACTGAGTAACATTTTGCATCCCAGTATTGGTTTTTGGGTGTTTTGTTTTGTTTTTTGCTTTTTCCTTCTAGGACAGTAAGAACTCAGGATGGTGTCAATTGCACATGGTTCCCTGTCTTGGGCTCACTACAATAAGAGAGTCACCAGTCTTATTTTCTGCTTAGACCATGATACCATGTAGCTTGAAGACATTCTGGGTTAGAATAAAACTGATTTTGAGAAATATTAAAACATCAGTTTTCATCAGAAATGAAAAGTGGGCCAGGTGCGGTGGCTCACGCCTGTAATCCTAGCACTCTGGGAGGCCGAGGCGGGAGGACCACTCAATGTCAGGAGTTCAAAAGCAGCCTGAGCAAGAACGAGACTCCCACCTCTATTAAAAATAGAAAGAAATTAATTAGCCAACTAAAAATATACAGAGAAGATTAGCCGGGCATGGTGGCGCATGCCTGTAGTCCCAGCTACTGGGGAGGCTGAAGCAGAAGGATTGCTTGAGCCCAGGAGATTGAGGTTGCTGTGAGTTAGGCTGACACCACGGCACTCTAACCCAGACAACAAAGTGAGACTCTGTCTCTAAAAATAAAGAACAAATAAAAATATAAGTTTGAAAAAAAGAAATGAAAAGTTGGCCAGGTGTGGTGGCTCACGCCTGTAATCCTAGCACTCTGGGAGGCCGAGGCGGGCAGATTGCTCAAGGTCAGGAGTTTGAAACCAGCCTGAGCAAGAGTGAGACCTCGTCTCTACTATAAATAGAAAGAAATTAATTGGCCAACTAATACATATATAGAAAAAATTAGCCGGGCATGGTGGCACATGCCTGTAGTCCCAGCTACTTGGGAGGCTGAGGCAGGAGGATTGCTTGAGCCCAGGAGTTTGAGGTTGCTGTGAGCTAGGCTGACGCCACGGCACTCACTCTAGCCTGGGCAAGAAAGCGAGACTCTGTCTCAAAAAAAAAAAAAGAAAAGAAAAAGAAATGAAAAGTGGAAGTGGAATCAGGGAAGAGAGATTTGACTCTTGGAAATGGTTTAGTTCATTTGAGTGGTAGGATCTGAGTATTCATTT